ATAATTATTATTATTATACTAATATTATATATATTGCATATGTAATTAGATAAATATTTTTTTGTGGATTGTAGATTTCCTAATCAACGCCAATTTTTAGCTCCATTTCGAGGTGTAAGATATCATCTACAAGATTTTGCAGGTTAGGGTAATGACCCTGAAAATGAGAAAGAATTGTTCAATCTTTGTCATGAGTCTTTAAGGAATGTGATCGAGAGAATATTTGGTATTTTTAAATCAAGGTTCACAATTTTTAAATCAGCAGTTCCATTTTTATTTAAGATACAAGTATAACTTATGTTAGTATGTGCAGCACTACATAACTTTCTACATAAAGAATGTCGTTCCAATGAATTTCCAATTGAAGCGGTGGATGAACCTTCATTTTCAATGTTACCAGTTAATAAGATCATACTTTTGAGCCTATTATTCAAACCCAAGAGCAAGAGCGAAAAGATGCTAATGCTTGGAGGACTAGTAAAGCTATGGATATGTGGGTGAATGCTATTTAAGAGGATATAATATTATGGAGAATTATTATTAATATTATTATTTATCTAGACATTATTTTTTTTTATTATTTTTGTCTTTGATTCTTTTTAAATTTGAATGTATGAAATTTTATTTTTGAAATCTTATCAAATGTAAAAAATCCACGAAAATTTTACAAAATCTCACAGAATCTATTAAAATCCTGATTTAAAAGTCTTGCAGAATCCATTAAAATCCTGATTTTAAGTCTTGTAGAATCCTGCAAAATCTTAAAAGTCATGAAAATCCTGCAAAGTCTTTTAAAATCCGCAGGATTTTTTTATAACTAAAAAAGTCCTTTAAAATCCTAATCCAATACACCTCCCTTAGTATTACTCGTTTAAATTATAAGTAAGTTGAAATTTCCAAAATATAGAAACTTCTGTTCGTGAAGCATTTGTAGGGAGCATTTTGAAGGGAGAACCCTAACCCTCCTATTCCCCCCTCCAATCCTCTACGCAGATTCCATCAAGGGTCGTCTCTTCGAGCTCAGCGGAATCCCGGCGCAGCACCAACGCCTCATCACCGGTTTCCACCATCTCAATGACGACAAATCTGCGATCCAATGCTCCCCGGAGGATGGCATATGTTCCCTTAGGTGCGCCTGCTGCTGCGCCTTAATGGCGGGAAGGGCAGAAGTGGCCGGAGGGTGAGGCACGTCAACGCGGAGAAGAGGTTGGAGGAGTGGAAGGCCGGGGAAGCGGAGAGAAAGATCGAGAAGGCGGCGGAGGAGGTTCTGAAGAAGCAGATGAAGAAGGGGAGGGTTTAGATGTGGGGTAGTGGGTTGGGTTTTCGGGTGTGGGGCTTGGTGTTTCGGGTTTGGTGCTTTGGGCTTTTAAGGGTTAGGATTTTTAGGGTTTGGTGTTTGTCGGGGCATTGGCTTCGGGGTTTGTAGTTCAAATTGGATGATTTGAATACCAGATTTTCGTAAACAAGGGAATAATCCATGGTATCAGTTGACTTAAACGAGTTGGAAGCGAAGGAAAGTTCTTCACCTTCTCCTTGCTCCTTTAGCTCATCAATTCCTTCATGCTTCTTTGCCCCTTAAGTAGAAGGAAGGACAAGAATGAAATTTTTTGCTCCCCTCAAAGCCCGAAGCCCGAAGTTGATTGTAGGGTTTAGGGTTTGGGATTTAAGGTTTTTTAGGATTCAGGGTTGGTGATATAGGAATTTCTTGGGCCTTGTACGAATGGGTTAACCTTTTCGTAACAATGGTATCAGAGCCTTGTTTACGAACCCGGTGTCTCGAGTTCGAACCCGGAGAGGGAAGTTACTCCTGATATTGGGGGAGTTCCGACTTCACCAAGCTGCCAGGTGTCAGCTTCTGAAGAAGGGGCGTTTGATATAGAAATTTCTTGGGCCTTGTACGAATGGGTTAACCTTTTCGTAATAGTTGGGTAGGGTAGGGTTTATTTGGACTTGGGGCTTGTGGCTTGGGGCTTAGGGTTTTCTGGGGCTTAGTTCATGGCTCTAGGTTTGGGGTTTGAGGTTTAGAGTTTTTTAGGGTGTAGGGTCTTTAGGGGTTAGGGGTTTAGGGGTATGTGTCAAGTTAGTAGTTTCAGAAGAACTCATTTTCTCCCGTCAGAATCATGCATGTGTGAAGTTAGTAGCTTTAGGGAAATAGTGACAAAGTGTTGTAGTTAGTACAATTAGTAATTTTGATTAGTGATTTCTGAAGTTGTAGTTGCTACTTATGGTGACAACGTGTGTTGTACCGCTATGGATGATCAAATTGAAAATTCTTCCAGTTCTACTATTTCCCCAAGTTCCACTATTTCCTCAAGTTTCACTCTTACTCATTGCACAAATTTAGGTTGGAAAATTTATTTAATTACTCATAATGTTCTTTCATTTTCTTGGAAAACTGATTAATGTTCTTTGGCTATTCTTGCAAGTATTATAATTTTCAATTTTTCTTTTAGGAACAAGTGACAACAATTGTGAAAGTGATTGTGAAAGCAAGTTTGATCCTCACGCGGTAATCTTAGGCTTGTATATCAATTTTAATTTGGATTTTAGGCTTGTATATAATTTGGTAATACTTATTTCACTAATTTAATTTGTTTTCTTCTTTGCAGGCCTGCATAATGAATGTGGACGAAAATGAAGTTTTTAGACAACTCATGTTTGCTAGAGCTGGACATAAACCTTCATTATCCGACATACTTTCAACTGGGCATAGATATCATACTATCTATACAGTAGATCTGTTGTTGAGCGGAATGCAGACTAGTTCCCTTAAGACATCTATTCAGCTTGTGTTTGGGGGGCCATTATCTGACCACAAAGGCACTTTAAAATTTCAAGACATTGAAAGAATGGAAAATGATACCTTTTTAACCTATTCGGAAGCTTACATTGAAGAAGTTGGATCTACTAAAAGTTTCACAGTGCAAGCAATCGAGGGCAACGAACAATTGAACAAAACCCACAAACGAGAAAGCTGAAAAGGTAATACTTTTTCCTTTCATTCACCGTTAAAAAGAGTATGAAGCATGCTTCTAATATCCAGATAGATATGCAACGACACCAAACACCACAGGGTAAAAACACGTAGGAACCCAAACACTAACCTAAACAAATCTAAATCCCCAGGACCAATCACTAAGAGGAAAAACTATGGAAAAGAAATAAAATTAAATAAAAAAACAGAGAAAATCATCACCTTGGCAAAAGAATAATGAAAGAAGATACACAGCAGCGGATACAACAATAATTTTTCTGGAGAGTTTTATGAACAGCTAAAGCATAACTGAAGTTGTGGTAGGTGAGGCTCGAAAGAGATTGTTAGGCAAATAATAAAATTCAGAGAATTAAAAGAAGGATCTGGAAGCGAGGACAACACGTCACAGCCCTCGTATATATTGATATTTGTTGACGATTAATAGTACAACGAAAGGAAATTATCGCAGAAACAGCAAAGCCACATGATCATATTTGACACGCAACCAAAATAATTAAATTTAAATTTATTAAACAGAAACAACTATTATGAAATTGTATTGTAAAAGTTGGAGATTTGAGAGTGAAAACCTACCAAATTCAACGAGGAACCCTTCTCAATTTCATCATCCATGCGGGTTTGGTTTTGTGTGCAGCAGTAAAGGATGCAATGTTCAATTTGGCCATGTGCGACAAAATCCTCCTCTTCACCATAAATCGTAAAATCCTCCTCTTCACCATAAACCGTCCAATCCCAACTGCGTCTTACCTCATTTCACCATTTGTTTGTCCAATACTTTTTTGCTTAAAATAAAAATAAAAAATATATTTGATTTTAAAAAATTAGTTCAATTTTTATGTAATATTTTTAAACTGATAATCAATTAGAAATTGTTTTATATAAATTTTTAAAGTAGTTATTAAAAAATAAAAAATCTTACCACCAATAAATATAAGAACTTTATAATTAAGTAACATGAAAAACCTTTATAACGTTTGCGTATTCTAATTAAATTCAAAACAAAGTTTTTATTGGTAAATAAATTTTTTCTATTTTACTATTTTTTAAATAATATATATTTTATGCACTAAATTTATTTTTTATTCATAAAAATTATAACGATTGTACTAATGTACTCAACACTCAGTTCATGTTATTGTAATTTTTATCGACTCTAGTAATTGTTATACAATTAGTACTATTAATTAATTAAAATTATCTTAAATATAATTTATAAGATCTTTATTATAGAAATGATGATGAGTTCATATAATTTGGTCACTAGAGCTTTGTTTCTAAAGCTAGGTAATATAACTTCCATAAGTTGTTCTTCTTACTATTACTATAATTTGTTCATATTCTTCATTTTCCTACCTTGTTTCTTGCACGGTAAAGTTCCTTCTTTTTTTTTTTTCATTTCTGAAAAAATCGTGAAAATAAGAAAAAGTAAGTGTTACAAAAAAGTTGTTCACAAAAAAAGAGATAAGAAAAAAATGTGTTCATTATATTACTAATATCTATAATATATTTTAGTTTTTTATCATTATAATATTTTTTTAGTTAACTCAACAAAAATTGTAAACCTGATTAAATCTTCTAAATAACCTCTAAAGAAGGCTAAGTGTGTTTGGATGAGAAATTTATATAGGGTAATTCATTTATTTGAAGAATTTCAAATTTCTGGAGGTGAAATGCTTTGTTTGGATGAGGAATTTACAAAGAATTTAAAATCCAAGCATTTGTGAAATTCCTTAAAATAGTAGAATTTCAAATTCTCCTAATAATGGGAGAATTTGAAATTTCTCATATTTATTTTTCTTATTTTACCTATATATTTTATCTTATCTCTTCATTCTTTTAATTATTGGATATTCAAAAATATTTTTAAAATTACTAAATATTATCTTATATTAAAATTTCAAATTAAATATTATCTAATATTAATTTTTAAAATTATTAAATATTTAAAAATGGATTAATATTTATTTTTATAAAATTTAATTTAAAAATCTCAACATATAAATTAATTTTAAAATCAATTTTACTATGATGGAATCAAATTATCATATTCAACCTAACAATTTAAAATTTAAGAAATTTGAATTGACTCATCCAAACAAAATATTTTAAGAATGATAGAAATTAAAATCAAAGTAATTCAAATACCAAAAATTTAAAATTCCTTGAATTTATAAAATTCCTCATCCAAACACACTATAAGAGTACTAGAAAAAGGTAGAAGAATTTTATTATTAAAAAAATAAGAGTGATACAGGAGGGAAAGTGTAACTTTTTAGGGTAAATATGCAGTAAAGATGGCAAGTAAAGATGATGCATCAAGTTAGGATATTAAAGGCATATCTGCATAAATGAGATTTTATCATTTAATAAGCTCTTCTATATTATGGTATAAGTGCATAAATTAATAAGTTGTTGCATTTCAATATGTTTTTAATTATTTATGTAATTTTAAAATGCTTTGATGTATTTTTTTTAAAGTTTACGGACATGATTTTTATAATATTTTAAAATTAATAATTAATAACTAATCTACATTTACAAGGATATGAATTTTGTTTGTTAAACATTATTTAAATATCTATAAGATGTTGTTTCATTTTAAAAAATTAAAAATTATAATTTAAATCTTGATAAAGTAATTAATAATTCTTAAAAATAATATTATATATTAAAATAATAAGCTAGTCACATTCACCAAATTTTTATTTATAAAAATAAATAATAAAATATGATAAATCAATTAAAATAATAAGCTAGTCACATTCACCAATTATATATATTAAAAATCAGTTTTATATATTCTATAAAATTATGATTAAAAAAATTTATTATATAAATATTAGTAACAAAATTATTTCAAAGTGTGCTATTTTCTAAAAGTTATGAAGACTTTTTATTCTAAGAAAATGTAGATTTGGGGAAGGGGGAGAGAAAAAATGGTGGGAAAAAAAAATATAAAGAGGAATGTAAACTTTTGGAAGAGTAATGGAAATCTTGAAGAGAATAATGAAAAGAGAATATAAAATTGATTTTTAATAAAAATAAAAATAAAAATAAAGCTATTTTAGTGAGTGACATGATTTGAGTATAGGTATTTTTAATTAAGTTATCGTATAAACTAAGTAATAAGTTATATTAAACAATTTATTAAAATAAGCTCAAAATATCTAATGGACTACTCATAAAATATTTTATAAATTTTTCCCATAAATACTTATAGAATAAGATAATTATAAATAAGTTGTTCATAAACTCTTCCAAATGATACCTAAGTTTTTCTTAAAAGTCATACAACAATACTTTCAATGTTTTAATTTGATTTTAGAGAAATAAGATATAAGAGGGATAAACAAGAAAATGTGATTGCAAATATAGCAATCAAATAAAACTTTTAATTTAAGGAGGCAAGGTGAGCTCAAAGAGGTAGTCCTACTAATTAGGACATAGAATCAAATCTACCTCCCTAGATTTCAACTTTTTTGCCTTTTTCTTTTGTTCTTTCTTTTGTCTTTCTTTTGTTTGTTCTTTTCACTTTCTTTTTCTTTTAAACACATGAGTTTCAATGCCTTTTTCAACACCTATGAGTCTTGATTTTAGTAATGAAAAAGTTGCCAAACAATTTTGCACAAACATGAGGTATACAAGTATGTGTGTGTGTGTGTTACAAGTGCTCCCAACTTAGCACACAAATTTTAGGTAACTTTTTTAGACACACTTTGCTTTTGTTTTTCTTACACTTTTGAACACTTAATACCTCTATTTTTCTCTGTTTTAAAGGCTTAAAAATAGGCACAAGTTTCAACCAACACAAGAGATTCAAGAAACCTAAGGAAACAAGTAGTAGTTTAGACAATTTTTTTAATGAAACATCAAGGAAACCTAACTCTAAAAATTTGCTAGAACTAATAGCAAATATAAACTCAAAGATGCAAAATAAACTAAAGACAAGAAAGGAATTAAGACATGAACGAAACAATTAAAAGAGACAATAACACATAACCTCAAGAGCACCAAGGCTCTGATACCAAAAATGATGAAAGAAGGTTGAGATTTCTCTCTAGAGTTCTCTCTCTTAAAGGCTTAAAACTCTCTTTGATTTACTTTCAATTCTATTATCTTCTTCTTAAGAGTGTGGTAAGATTTGAGGTGTCATTCCTTGAAGATAGTCTTTCATCATTGAAGATGAATTCTCCATTAGAAACTTTGAAGAAACTTGAAGAATGTCAAGAAAGAAAAGATTTAGAAAGAGGAATTATATCAATCTAATTTCTTTTAAAATTTTTATAAAAAAATTTATTCTATTAATTTTGCAAGATTAAATTATATAACCTCCAAAAAGTATATTTGCATAAATAAAAGCTATTTTACCTTATATAAAACTAAGTGGGTGGCCTATGCGATGTATGGACTATTTTATTTTTCAATTTGATAAATTGTTAATATATGATTATATATATATATATATATATATTTATAATTTTAAATATATGATGAAAGAAAAAAAACTGTATAACGTAACATATTAATGCATTATTTATACCAAATCAAAAATATTGCATCAAAATGAATTTCAAAAATAAGTAGTATTTAAATAAAGAATAACATGGAATATATACTTAAAAAAATAATAACATATAATAAAAAAATATAATTATTAGTAATTATATAATTTTAAACTAAAAAATTGTGAATCACATTAATTAAATTTGTTAGTGACTTTAGTAACCTTTGTATGAATAATATTGTGTGAATTAAATGATCGTATTTTCTACCTCTACAAAACTACTAATAATATTGATTTGTGTGCATTTTATGCTAAAAAAATTTAAACATCGATAATTTTTATTTATTTATTAATATATATAATAAGACATTGGGATTAACATTTAGGTAAAAATATATTAAGACTAATTGAAACTAAAAATGAATAGCGTAATTATATTATCCAATGTCTAATTAACTTACATGAATATGAATGTAATATAATTAATAGTATATGAAATATATATCTCGATAACATGAGTGAGTGTAATCGTGCAATTCTACATATAGCAATAAAGTATATTATAATTATAATGAAACAAATTCTTTTAAATGACAACAAATATTTTTTTTTTTACATCACATGAGTTTTTAAGTTTGGTATTAAAAAAATTAACATAAAAATGAGAAAGATGGTATCGTTAATATATAAATTCTTAACTCATTATTACTTTCATAATTGATTAATAGCCACAACTCGCTTTTGTAGATGGTTCAATAATTGTTATTCGTTAAACTTTAAACAATATCCATAGTGGCTAGAATTATGTATCTGCATTTATTAATAAAATATGTTATAATTATAAATAAAAAAATTGATGGAACTACTTGGAGAAAGTTGATGTTCTTCAAGTATTCCATGCAAAGGACCGTGAATACTCTTGAAGCAAATCTTCAAATCTCAGCTTGAAGCTCCATGAAGTAAACTCCAATGGAGGAGAGGCACCTTGAGGAGGTTCAGTTACTCCTTGGAGAGGTGAAGAAGCTTGAGGAACCAAC